AAACGTTTATTGTGTCAATCAAATATTTAATGTCGATCACTGCAGTTGTGGTTTTGACCTCTCATTTTCGTTTAAATTATTTATAGTATTTTAAGTTAATAGTTAATATAGTTTTCAAGGAAGAGGTGCTAAGATAGCAATTGTATGGAAACTTTTGCTGAACAATATATTATATTGCAGACGCTATTAAGGGTGAAAATGTACCAGACTGAACTTATTAAACCCGTGAAACATGTTTAAAAAGATAAATTGAAAACCGTTGAAAAAGGAGATGAAACAACTTACTCCTAACTAACAACTTTAGTACGTTGTTTCACCTGCTTTTTTTACGGTGTTAAATTTATCTTTTTACACAACTTTTTCTTTAGAAACACCGACGCAGCTCACACTAGTTTACGGCTAGTCTCCACCGTGAAAACAAAACTGTGATTTCTAGACCAGTTAAAGAAATAAGATGAAAGATTTCCGCTTGATCCTGGTTACCAAAATTTTGTTGTTGCTGTCAGGTTTTTAATTTATGATTTCTAAACAACAGTGTTACAAAACAATTACTATTCTAAAGAAAGTCGGTCTTTTTTATTTCGTAAAACAAAAAAAAAGTAAACAAAAATCACACCAGTTCTTGGGATTCGATTACCCGTATTACCTTTCGTGGAATTAACGTTCTTCCCAGACAACCTTTTTCAAAATACTGTATCAGTAAGCTATATGTAGCAACTTCAAAGTAGTCCACCAATTAATTTAATATATCGAGAGTAATAATTTTAAACCTCCAGATCCTCCTGTAGCTAGTGAGCTATATCATTGGCTTKCTCGAGTTAATCGTTCAAAGTTCTCACGGTTATCACGCAGTAACAGTCCTTCTTTTCTGGGCTGTCATAGCTCACTTGATTTGAACCTGTGTCTGTTCGGACATTTAAAAAGTCCTACATTTGCGGAATCATTGCATCCGCTCCTTTTCCTAATAGAGCTTCTTAAGAGATCGGTTTTCAAAAATATTATATATCCCACTTGCTAAAWGATGAAAGAAAAACATTAGCTAACCTTTATACCTTACCAAAATTGGCGTGCTGATTGATGAGGTACTCATCCCAATTGACGTCATTACTCATTCCGCAGGAAGTCACGCATAACTCTCATACCTTGCGTGACTGAATTATTAATCACATTTCTTAAAAGTTCTCTTGTTTGGATAGGATTTTCTTCCTTAATTCTCTATGTAGATAGCGGGTTATTTTGTTTATTTGATCTATGTCTGTGTGAAAAGAGATATTTTGTAGAATACGTGTCTTCTAAAGGACAATTGTACGTTGTTTTGTAATGCCTAGATCTGCCGGATGTACGTGACTGCACGATCAATATCGCGTCAGACATATCATAACTGCACATTATTTTAAGTGTGATAAATCATGAGTTGGTATCATACGTACATAGCCCTCGACGCAAGTCAATACAATACATACCATAGACGAAATATGCTGTCRCGTAGAAGATCTCGTTCTCCTGTTCGATTCCTRGAATGCAGAGTTGTACTACTCGACAATTCCGAGTTTTGTACGACGTTCGAATCCGGTGAAATCGAAGCTAGRAACCTGTTTGATCAGGTATGCGTAAAAGCTCAAATACCTCCGAAATTCCGCAAGTATTTCGGGCTACAATATGTCGATCGCAAAGACGGTGAGATGTCGTGGGTTTTGCTGGAYAGRCCTATCCGCGTATCAAAAAAGAGAGGAAAGTCAAGAAATTTTCAGTTGGCTGTAAAGGTGTTTCCCGAAGACCCTGTCAAGATCGTGGAACATTCAATCTCAACTTCACGATGGCTTGTTTTTCAACTGAAGTACCTTATCACTCAAGGGAAACTGCATCTACCACTAGATCAACATGCAGTTTTGGATAGTTATTTCGCTCAGGCAGRCCTAGGAGACTACACAGCTCAAGATCATGGCTATGGCTACCTGGAYGGCTTYCTAGGCTCGACTTTTTTCGCGCARCCAAGCTACATTAATTCAAATTTAGAAATCAGCGATTCAGCATATGAGAAYATGGTCACGAACCTACACAAGTCACGCAATGGCATGAAGACCCATGAGGCTTTGATGGCGTTCTTAGATCTATGTCACGRAAGCAAACTGTACGGMAAATTCATCCACAAGGGTGCTACAGACAGCTCGAACAACGATGTTCTTTTTGTMATCTCCATCAAGGGACTGCAAGTATCTGTYCCAGATGAGTTTCGCGAACCYGGGGAGTTGCTACACGACTTCCCATGGGGTGTGGTCCATACTATTCTCTCTGACAAATCCAAYCTTATATTAACTATTAAACCAAACGGTGTCGGCACCGGTCCTGAGATTATCTACACTTTCAAATTCCATGGACATTTTGCTTACCTTCAAGCCGACCGAGTCGTCACAGATTGTGTGAATCATAAGATACTKGCKCTCAATAAAGCGACCATGGAAAGGAAAACTCTAAGGAGTCAATCAATGGAAGACGTATCAAGAACCGACCAGTTAACGGTACCTACTACAGGCTGGAGACATCATTCTTACAGCCCATTAATGTCATTGAGGAAGCAAATGAGAGTCGGTGTGGAGCAGTTTGTTTAGACATTGGTCAACTGAAGTAACATGAGTTTTGTACATAGATATAGTGTGGTGAAATGTTATGTAGAGTTCGGTTTTTGTTATGATTTCGAGGTGTTTGTAATATAGAGGTGTTCGTGATATGCACATAGATGTCCGTAATATCGAGGTGTTTGTAATATAGAGGTGTTCGTGATATGCACATAGATGTTCGTAATATAGAGATGTTTGTGATATAGAGGTGTTCGTGATATGCACATAGATGTCCGTAATATCGAGGTGTTTGCAATATAGAGGTGTCCGTGATATAGAGGTGCCTGTAGCAAATAGTCACGTAATATAGAGATGCCCGTAATGTAGAGGTGTCCGAAATATCGAGGTGCTTGGAATATCGAGGTGTCCTTAATATAAAGATACCCGGCGTAATGTAGAGTTGTCCGAAAGATAGAGGTGTGCATGTATGATTGAGGTGTTCTAAAATTAGAATTATCCGTATTAGAAGAGGTTCCACTAAAATGATTTCCAGTCATCAATCAAACGTTTTGTATTTGGAACGTTCTGAACACTCGAGGGGCTTCCGCTCGGATGCGCAACATTGAAATGGCTTTTCGATATCTTTGAGTTGGTATTTTGTCCACGCCTAGTTGAACTTTTAAGTCGCTATTTTCTACTTTGATCGTCAGTATTAATTGATAGCACTAAAATGGCTTTCCGTTTGTAACACTTAAGTGGCTTTCCAAGCTGTTCAAATGCCATATTCCACTCCAAGRGTCGCAAAAATGAATCGAAAGAAACCSTTTTACTGTAATTGATGCATCTACTTAAAGCGAGGAGACCTTCAAAATAAGATCTATAATTGAAATCGTGGCATTTCTTTTATGGCATTGAAATGGCTTTTTGGTTTTTACAGSGTTGAAYTGGWGTACAAACATTAAAATTAAATGCCACTCAATACTGATCAATTATGCTTATTCAATTTTTTACTAGTAAATCAGCTCTAGTRAGTAGTAAATTAATAAAAAAAACTATTACTCATAATAGTATTTTTATCATCTAGTTTTGCTATGCAACATTGTGTTGATATTTATATTATGTAACTGATAGATGCGTTTCAAACGCCAAATCTCACACGTGCTAAAGTCAAAGTTTATCCAATCTTTTACTGCTCATTATCTTTCCATTTGTAGTTCGGTACATGTGAGATACGACGTTTTTAAGGAAAGGTACAGAAAAGTGCACCTTCATCTCTGAAAATTAAATATTTGTGTAAAAAGTCCTCACTCAAGCAATGGGTTGACAAAGTGTAATAAGCAAGCCTAGATTATAAGAAAGAGTGAGCCATTGCAGAGAAAAAACTAGAAATGTACAGTTTTAACTAAAAATACTAATTTTGAAATAAAATTGAGTTGTAGTTTGTTTCTCCGATTGGTTGTTATTTGTTATTTGTTAATTTTTTTATAAATAATAAAAATCAACGTATTAAGTGTAAGTTTAAGAAAAGAAACGGCACTTAGCTGTAAAAATAAATAAACAGTAATTTTGTTCATTTTTCTATATTTTTTCTACCAGAAATGATTCCATTTGTATTTTTCTTAAAAAATCCTTGTTTTTTGTATATTTTCTTAGTGGTTATCATAATCTGAAAAGGTTGTCATCAAACGTCGTATTATTATTTTTAATTTATTGATAAAAGGTTTATTAAAGRCTTAGTATTATTTACTCTTTTAGARAACAATTGTTACCCGACACGCGACTAACAAATTCATGTTACCACGGAATAGAATCATTCATRATGGAATGTTGATTTTGTCAGATGAATAAATTTCTCAATGATCAAACAACCTGTGTACATTTCGAAGATTCGCGATGAAGTCTTCGAATTCGCTCGCGCTTTGATTTCTTCCATCAGATATTCTGTTACACAAAGGGGATTTAAATCGCGCGGGAAAACAGCGCGCGRAAAAACGTGTCTTTCCTTTATGACGAAGAAAGCAGTGTGTTTTCCTTTTTTGCCGTAAAAGTCYGTTGCTAGTGGCGTAGGACAATGGGAACCATAGGGAATGACCTTTTGGTTTCAAACACTGAAGGATCTAAAGACGAAATCGTTGTGAAAGACTCTGGCTCAGAACATGAAGATGTTTTATCAGAAAAAGACGACGAGAAACGAACCGATTCAGACATCGATAGTGACTCGGCAGTAAGCGTTTTAAATTATCTGAACGACAGTAATTTTCGATCGCCTTCACGAGCGTCGTCCTCAAAATCGGATAAATCAGCGATCATTCGTCTCAACAGCGAGCTTTTAAAGGCAAAACGGAGTAACTGGGAAGTTGTGGACGCGCTAAACTGCGCTCATGATGATATCCGTGACCTCAGAAAGCGAGAACAAAGACTAAATGATTTGCTAAGGAATAATCTTATTGACGGGGGAGTATTAAACCGTGACTCAGTCAGGAGAACAGAGTTTAAGATCTTGAATACACAGCTGGAAATACGACAAGAAGAGCTTTCAAAGACCAAAGACATTGTCAGAAAACTAATGGGAGAAAGAGATCGCTTGAAAGAGGAATGTTCACGGACGCGTGCTGATTTAAACCTSCTATCTTTACAAGATAAACGTAAGGAAAATGAACTCCAAGTAGTTCAAAATAATCTACGATCMCTTAAAGAACAACAGAGTATAAAGGACGATAATGGTTTTGCTTTAAGGGAGAATGCTCTAKATTTAGAGCARCAGTTGCGATCAGCCAAAAACGCCGCTCAAAAGGCTGAAGAACAGATCYCGACTCTACAAGAAACGTTACATTTGCGCGGGAGCGAAATAYCCAGTCTGAAAAACAAGCTAAAAAGACTTGAGGATGAAAACGATCTGGCGAAAAGTCAGTTAAACGAAAAAGATGCCGTAATRGAGCAATTAAAAGAGAAAGAGCAAGAAGTGTTCAAGGATGTTGAGCAAGAACTCYCAAAAGAACTCACCACCTTGCAGATGAAGCTGAACGAAATGGAAATAAAAAGTGAAGAAGACAAAAAGAAGATGGCTGAGATGAATGAGAAATTGAAAGAATGGGAAAGGTATGGAGGAAGGTAAATTAACTTGAAAATAAATGAATATGAATAGAAATGAAATAGGAAAAGGGATGAAAGAAGTAAGGAAAAAGAAAGAAATGTAAAAATTTCTTATTATTTGTCAGTGGAGCCCTGTCTACATGAAATAGGATGTCACCAGGTAGTTGTTTTCATTTCATAAAACAAAAGAGTTAGTCGTACAATCCAGGAGCACCCTACATACATCATGTAAACAGGGTCTAATACTTGTTAATAGATGATTTATCTATCTCTTATAGGATGAGTAAGTCAATGGATGAGTATGTCCATGAAGTAAACAGCAGGCAACTTGAAGCTCGCCAAGAAATTGCAAATTACATTGAYYACTTGGAGCATCAACTGTCAGCAATCAAATCAGYACAAAAACCAAGAGAAGAGAGTCTGACTCGTGGAGATAAGTTCAGAAAAAAGAGACATAAATCTCCTGAATTGCAACAACATATCCAATCCAACTTAACACATGATTCAAGTGACTCCTCTTTGTCATGTGGGAGTGGGAATCACAACTCTGTTGATAGCTTAGACTTTGCACATGCTCAGTCTGATATTGAAGTGTTGAGTGATGTTTCTGCTGGAAAACAAAAGGGACGTCGAAGGACACTACCATTGACACCCAGTGATATTGAGGCCCTGAGTGATGATGGTGTAATGATGAACTCTAAAGCAAGCACTTTTGATCGTAATATGAGGAATCGTTTACCTCGACGGCGAAGGACACAGGATTCRGGACTTGGTGAAAGTGTGATTGGTCGTGAAGGAATAAGAGAATCAAGTAGYKAAAGCGTATATCCATGGAGACAAAATTCTAAGGGTAAAATATTACGAGGTGTTGATTGATTTAGAACATGGCTCACAGTTAATGCTAGCTAGTTTATTGCAAGTATAACACCTTTATACAAGCAATAGTCAAAGCAGAAAACCTTTACCAACCCACATRATAAACCAAGCACTCCCAATGAGCAAACAATGTATTATTGTTCTTGACTAGAATCTAAGCCCAGGTTCCAGACTTCTAGCCCAGTCAAATGTCAAGGAGAAGAGGCTGGAAATGATTCTGACAGTTTCATAACAATAACTCCTCTGTCTGCTGGCACAGGGAGCCCAAACTCAAGTGGAGTTGACTCAGATGTGTCAGACAAACAACTGAGGTTGATRCCWAAAAGCAAAGAAAGTAGGCACATCAAAAGGGAACAAGGTATAGATCATTTRCACAGGCAGTGCAACACATACCATTATATTAATGAACAAACTATCATCCTTGTGTTTTAGTTCCACTGCGTCGATTTTTGTCACATGATAGACCACGTGCTCACCGACGTCARGCYGCACTGTTGTTGGTTTTTCGGTACCTGACTCCACTTGAGCTGTGCAGTCTTYCTAGAGTTTGTAGAGAATGGAGAAGTCTTGGTGAACATCCATCGTTATGGAAAAATGTAGTCATTGTGAATACYCAAGTCAATAATATGGTAATAAATCTTTAGTGGGCTTCCTGTGTTTATTTGCCCRAGTCTCTCTCTTCATTGTTGCCACAGGGAATCCAAATCAACCAATCTAATTAAGTAATGTTACGAACAGCAATGAGAGGCAAGATAAATGATAACAAAAAAGCAAGAAAACAGCAACTGACTATTTTCTTGTGTATTATATAGTCCCTGCTGTCCATTTCTAGACGTTGTAAACCCACAGAAAAGCTAACCCTCAAAGGTGAGAGTTTTCAATTTTGTCATCCATTTGTCATTAAAGTTCTTTCTTTCAGTCTTTTTCATCCTTTCCATTATGTCTAGTCGTCTATGTTATAGTAATTGCTCAACTTTTCATTTTTTAATTCCTCAATTTTCAGGTCTGAGGAGAGTTGGACGAGATTTGGCGGAGATGAATGACAAGTAAGAGTGTTAATCRTCWYCCCCCACACCCCCTCCCTAAGGAAAACACGMCACTGCCAAAACATCTTTACTTTTAGTTCATCTTCTTCATCTTTGTTAACTGCAGCTGTTACCTCGAGAAGGGCCTGGAGTACATCTTAAAAGTTGCAGCAGGCTCATTGCTATACTTACACATAAATGACTGTGAGAACTTGCTGACAGACAGGTAAGGTTTGGGATTTCTGTGTAAAACACATTCTAATGCCCGGGCTTTCTGTGTAAGTCATGTGACATTGTTGTCGTTACAGATGTCTTCTGCTGACCGGTAGTCATTGCCGCAATCTTCAATCCTTTACYTACATCAGTGAATTCTACCCGGCATGCCCTGAGGCACTATGGTCTCTTTGGAACTGTAGAAATCTGACTTGTCTACGAGTKCCCCCTATGACCCCAAGGTATGTCGTGGTACGGACATATAAACACCAAATCCTAACCCATACCCCAACCTTTCAGCTAAAAAATTTCTAGAATATTAAATTGAACTTTTTTGTTTTACGCGATAAAAAAAACTTCCATTAAGAAATCCTTTTTTTTCATCCAGTGAGCATCCAAACCGATTCAACGACAAAAGCTGCGAAACCATCGCCAACTGCTGGCCAGGCTTGCGAAAACTAACCATCGGTGGCTTAGGRATGACATCTACAGGTCTCACGAACATAGCACAAGGTTGTTTACGTCTACAAGYACTCGAACTTGACCGCACCCATTATGTGACCGAAGAGACGGCCAGCGCTATGTGTCAGCTTGGTCTCAGAGGTCTACAAGTGTTGCTTTTTACCTTTACTCCTGTCAGCCCCGCAGCTGTACGACAGTTTTATGGTAAGCGCAGATATGTTGTGGTTAAAACGTCGAATTTTTTGTAGAATAGTCAACCTCGTACCCAGACCCTTCGGTTTGAGTGAAGGGAGCCTGTTGAGCTTTTGTTCCGTTTTCAAACTTCATTCCCTGACGATGCTGTAGAAAGCGAAAGCTGGGAGTCGCAGATTTAATAAGTTCTTACAAATAGCAGCCAAGGCTTGATAATTCTTGATAATTTCCAATTTTATGTTTTTCATTTTGTTAGCTGCATGCCCTCGACTTGAGTACATGGCAATACATGTGGGAATCTCTGATTACTTCTCGGATGTAAATAACCCTGAAAATATTCGCAAATACTCAAGAATGGTAAACAAAATCGAGGTGAGTTATATCCTGACGGTTAATAAAAAAATACGTAAATGAATAGGTACCGAGATCAACGGATAAATGAATGGATAATTGTTGAATTAAAGGGTTGTGAGAGAAATGAATGACTGGATGGGAAAATGGATGGATTTAATGAGAAAATAGATGAATGGATAAATGAATGGATGAGGTAATGAAAAGAGAAATGAACAAATGGATGCGTAATCAAGTGTACGTCACAGTAACGATCTTTCTCGTATCTTTGTCGTATTCTGATTGTCATCAGATGATATTAGGGTCAGCATGACCTCAAAATATCGCCCCTCCATAAACTTTGTAGTTAAGTCTCAGTTTCATAGGACTCTTGAGTAATCTAGGAATCGGATGATTGAACTATGGATGGAAGGATGTATGATAAAATGAAAAAATAAATGTATCGTTTGCGCAAATTGTCCATCTTCAGATGTTATTGGTTGTGAGAATTAGTTGTATTGCAGTGGCAGTAGTAATCATGATAATCATATTTCATTTCAGGRGTTACGAGAAGAAAACTCGGACTTGGCTCGTGTTCTTCGCATCAAAGCCGACTATGGATAGTACACATGAAACAAAACTTTTTTGTTAATGTAAAGAGAGATTTATACTTATGAAAACAATGCTGAATGGATTTAAAATATTAATAAAACATGTAAAACAGACGATCTTGCAAGACAGTTTTCGCGCCAAATGGCGTCCTCTGAACTGGGTTTCCGAGGATGGCCTATTTGCGAGTTGAAAAGATAGCCTGGGCTTCTCGGATAGTATCACTATAAAACGTGATTATATTCATACGCGATAATCGAGCGATGATCAGTGCTGATGCAGCGTTTTCTTGCTAATTTTATAGCCCTCAAACTRCACACACTGTAGGGTTATGATAGCAGTCACTTGAATCTAAAGTTGCTCAAAAAGTGAAATAAACTTCTTACGCCATGTTCGTAGCTAAAAAATTCTCCCAATGACTAATACTCAAATATGTTTTACATGATAGTTAGTTACTATGTTAACATGTATGCCTTTCGAAAATTGTACGACTGCACAGTCGAMGAAATTGATGTCTTACGACGCCAGCAACACGTGGCACGTAAACTGTTTTTATGTAATGCGTGGAGATTTTTGGCGGGAAAGACGGCACCCTGGGCTGTGATCTTGTTATTGATGGTACTTTCAWTGCTTCAGAAGGGTGATAATAGGCTTGTAACTACTTCAAATTTGTAACAGATGTTGACTCGTACTATAAAATTATCAATGATTATACTTTGAGAATGTACCACCCAACTTGCATAGAGTTTTATACAATACAATTAGTGTTAAAAAGAGGACGTTTAGCGTTGATTTTTATATAGCTTATTATGGAGTATAATGCGCGTATATGCAACATCTTTAAGTGTATTTTTACAGGAAAAAMCGCGTTCCTCTGACCTGATGGTTTTTAGAACGCGCGTTTAAACTTTAAGGTCAATATTGTCATTCCTACAGGACAAAACTGAAAAAGCTTTGATAAGATAAAGTAGCCGTTTGTCGATAAAAGGAAGATATATTGAAAGCGATCCTAAAATCGATATTTTTACACAAGGAAATATCACCCTGAACTCAACACTTCAGTCACTTCAGTCTATTGACTTGCTTCGCACGTGCAGATTGCAAAAGCAACTCTCAAAAGAAGAGATTTTGATGGAATGAATATACTTAATACTTTTTTATTCAAGTAGCCACTTTTGCAGGCTAAAATATGTGGTATTTTTAGTCGTAAATCCTCGTAATAGGCTGATTCATTATCACAAAGCATTTTGGCGCGCTTTTCAGAAAMCCAAGCGTYGTGCAACTCGATGCTAGAGTTCCCACGCTCACACCAATGCAGTTTTAGATGGATATCTAAAAGTTTAAAAGGTCACGTAGTTTCGTAATTTGTTAAGTTGTTTATACCAGTATATTGGTCACCGAAACTTAATTAAGGATTTTATTGTGTATAAGTGTAGTAAGTTCGACACAAGATTCAGGTTACCTCTTACGTCTTCTTACACAGTATTTTTAGAAACAGCGGGCTTCTTGCGGCACTACGTAAGATGAAACTTCAGATTAATGGATTAACTAGATTAAAGGACTTTTCACTTCATCAACCTTGACAAAGTTTAGCCGTTAAATACTTTAATTATCTACTAAAAACATAGAAATTGATACTGCCAAAAAACGCGCAAATCAATTGCAGATAATCTACAAGCCATCCATCTTATCTGACATTTGTTTATGGATTTACAAGCTAAAAGGTTATACTATTGTATAGTCCGTCAAGCTGGCGAAAATATTAAAACAATTAAGGCCAAAATTTAACGTTTTGAAAAACGGACAGTTTTATCAAGTCCCTAGAGTAATGGTGTGCCGACAAAAGCACAAAAGGCGAAATTTTCGTCAACGTTTCGGCATCTTAGCATTGAAAACATTTCGCACTTTCATGCCTAGGCGAGAGAATCTCAAACAAAAGGCGGGAACCTTATTGTCATGTCTTTGTTCGGCATTTGACTTGTTTTTAGTTATTTTTTATAAACTCCTAACGTAAACAAAGGTAGTTTAAATGRTGTTTAAGCTCGCCTAGTCAAGATTTCGTTATAAGTCCTCGGTTTCTTGAAATGGCATATGTATAAACTACAAACGAAGCGAAGTTTCGAAAATGATCGTCCGAAGTGAGGAATCAATTTTTGACAAGTGACTGTGGGAATGTTTATTTTTCGATGAGCTCAGTGTCATAGCTGAATGCATCTCAACAGAGAAAGCTAATAGACAGTTTACAATAAGATTTAAAGTGTCCGTCCTTTATTACCGGAAGAAAATGTTATTACACTCCAAAAAGCAATAAAAATCATTCAGTTTTGAAGTTGAGACAAGTATTAAAGTCAATAAACTTTTTGAAACTCAAATCTCTGGATTTTATCTAAAAWCGAATTGACATCGGTGGTTTTTGAGTTGGAATGCAAGATTAAAATCAAAAGCTAGCTGTCAAGATCAAATTAACACTATTGTCAGTTTAGTGAAGCCACCCAAACCGCCAAAAAGCAAGCTGAAAATGCTAGGAAAGATTTGCCYCAGTAAAAAARATTTTGGCTTCAGKGCATCATTRCTCAAGGGTATTGAGATAATTAAGGGATAAAACAATWCAATAGACTATTGTTTAGCAGTTTAGTGGTGGTACTTTAATAGTGTCGATTGTTCTGGATAATATGACGCTTGCTAATTATAAAACAATACGTAATGACSGTATAAATACCGCTGTGCCGATCATCAGATTCATTTTCACGTGCAACTTGCTGCAGAACGAGAAACACGACAGAGCTTCATTCAACTTCAAGAGAAATGGTATGTTTTGAGGGCGAAAGCCGTGTTATTAACTTCAGAAACTCATCCTACTTCATGATATCATAATTGTTTCTATTTCCTGAGCATTTTAATGGCTTTCCTGTTGTAATTTTCATGATTGAACTTCAACGCCTCGTGGTTGCGCAGTATTTGATTCCTCRGATGTTTCTTTCAGGCTTACGACAATACTTATCTAGTTGGAAAACGATTCCCTAACCGTCTATTCGTAGGAGGCTTGCCGGCACCGGTAAGTATTGTTTTAACACGATCTTTAAACTTCCTTTTTTGCCGATAAACTGTTTAGGTTGACCCGCCATTAGCGCGTTTATTCCCTGTTCTTTTTTGTTTTATCGTTTGATAGTGAAACTGTTTGTTGTTTATCATATGGCGCTATTCTGTACTCAGCTGAAAATTACGTTGTTGTAAATCGTGCCTCGTGATTCCTCCAAAGAGCATCTCGAGTTCAACTCAAAAGCGTTTAACAAATCCGATGATTCTTATCTTTAAAGCGCATTATATTTACGCAGTTTCATTAGGATAACGTTTTATTGTTTGGGTTGTTGTTTTCCTATTCCTTGAACTCCGTATATATCAAGCTGTGAACTTTGCTACGCATCTTCCTTTAAACAGGCGTATTGCTCAGGTTGCGTGTTGCCGAACAAAAAAACTTGCGTGAACGTTAATCTTCTCCAGTGCTTCGTTATTTTTATGCTTTGGTGTCTAATTTTCATTTTAAAGACCAGTGAGTGAACGAAAACTTTTTTGGCGTTGCATTTTCATGAGCCAAGCAGTTTTAGTTCTGTCGCGTGTTTTGTTGTTTGGGCGTCGACGAGGCGCAATTGGTCGCGTCTTGTTGCGTTTTATCGACGTAGTTCCCATCACGTTAAAATACAACCTGTGCTAACTTGTTGTTTTCTCTCCAGGTTACAGCCCCAGAACTTGCAAGTTTCTTCTCGAACTTTGGCTCCGTCGTGGACTCCAAAGTTATTTTGGACGAGGAAGGTGTAAGCAAAGGGTAGGGTGTAGTATATTTATCGCTTGATGATAYGTGTAATATTTTCGTGCAATATTACGTATTGCAATAACTGACATGTTTTTTGTTCTCTTCTTTAGATATGGGTTTGTATCGTTCAAGAGTGCTGAGGATGTCAAAAACGTCGGCCAAATGGTAAATAAACTGTGATTTTATCCTTCCTCTCCATCCTTCTTCTTAATCTATGCTTTCATCTTCCAATTCTTTAACATTCCTTCTTATACTCTGTGACTTTTTATGAAAAATAGTATTCATTAACTCTGTATAAATCTCAAATTGATTTTTTTTTCTAGGGAACACTGTTTTTAAGAAACAAGAAGTTAAACATTGGGCCGGCAGTGAAAAAGGAGGGCCCGGCAATCTCTCCTGAAACAGTAATAGGTACGACAAACAATATATCCTACTCAATTCTCATTATTTGTATATTGTTCTGTCCTTCTCTAGCTTAGTTTGTTTTTACCTGTTGTTTTTACAGTGCCCAGCGCCCCGTCGAAGGGAGAGTTTTTTTACCCGATTCAGCAACAGCAACAACAGACAGTGAGTGTAGCAGCAAAGTTCATTTAGTTTGTTTACATTCATTCATTCCCTTTTTTTRATCCATCCATCCATGTATGAGTATTTCTTTATTCAATCATTTTCTATTTGTTTTGTGTTTGAAACATTTTGTTCATGAWTTGCTAACCATAAGGTTGTTTTTCTTAGATTCCATCAATGCAATATGCAGTGCAAGAACCACAGCCAGTAATGTGGTATTACTATTTTCCAACTATCGAACAGGTAAGYGCTTATTCCATCATATCGACTATGTCTCTTATTTCAAATTTCAAAAAATTGGTAAGTTTGCAAAATTGTGTCAATTTGGCCTTCCCAAAATGTTCACGTCTACTTTGCCTGAGCATGCCTTWGGTTACTTGCCATGGCCTGTATGCYGATTTTTGAATGTCATTGCTTGAATTCTTTTACTAAATGTGTATGTCTTTTTATTTCAGGCACAGTACAATAATATCTATCAATTACAGAACCAGGTAGCAAARTACCAAATCCTGCCAGAAGGTACAGTGCCGATAAGGTATATAATACCTTATTAATAATCCTAAATGTTGTTCTTGTTCTGTGGTCAATTGCTTATGTGCTTGTGGAATCAACCAATAGGATTTCAGTATTCATTTCAAATCTTTTTACTACATTATACTTAATATATATTTTTTTCTCTCAACAGTTCCTTATAACAACAATAATTATATCAATGAAAGCCACAATACAATGAACTCAGTAAGTCTAGCTYCTTCAGTGCATCACAGAACTAAATTATTATATCTGTAAAAAATCATTGGCTTCTTTAGATAGCTATTTTCTGAAAATACTCTAACTTGTGTTTAATTTTGTCTTGTAGTACAATAACACATCACGAAAGCCAAGACGTAATCTACCCCCAAGGCTGAAGTCAAAAAGAAGTAACTAAGTCCGAAGAACCAGTATTTAATATTAATGTAATATGAGTCTCCAAATAACTTTTGCGAAGGAGACTATTGTAATATAGAAGTAGAAACTTTTCATCTTTCTCTCTTTGAATCATTTGAATGATTTTGATATTTTTTGATCTGCATGGATTTTATGAACAATTTTTCAGTAATTAGTATTTTAAATTGAACTTATGCTCTAAGAGCTCACTTATTGACCAGTAGCTATCTATTTTTTCATACTATTCAGTGCTTTTTTATACAACATTTAAAAAACCATTTTATAAGGTTCGTAGTAGATAATTTGATTGCAGTTGCAATCTTCAAGTAACTTCTCGTAGAAACACATTTTGTAATAATATTCAAGACAAGTCATGAGGTCATTTCATACAAAAAAGATGTAAATTCATTATAAGAAATATATATATATATATTGGTAATAAATAATTGTTTAAAAGAAAGACAATTTGTTCTTATTTCTCAAATATCATATATTGGTAAGGGGAAATGAAGAAGTATGAATAAGAGTGAGGGAGGTTAATTGATTTTGGTCAATTTGCTCAACGGTCTAGACATCTTTTTTCTTTACTATTTTGGCATTTAATCATTTTTAATACTTAGAACGATACTAAGGACAGATAAGYCACCTGAAAAGTTGGTCTTTTCTATGACGATCTTGACGTTAAAAAATTAATGATAACAGCTATTGCGTGTGTGTGTTTTTTTTGCGTTCTAATGTATTTTATAAAATTTTTGATATATAACGCGCGCTCTGATTGGCTGACGACCGTGTTTATATCAGAGGACAGAGACACGGCTTACCGGCAAAATTTTCTTTTCGCTCGAAAAATTTTATAAAAGAAATATAAAACGGCCGCTTGTGTCTCTGTCCTCTGATATAAACACGGTGGGAGTTGAAAAACACTCGAGAAGCAAGAGAAACACTTGCTACGCTCGTGTTCCTAAGCTTGCTTCTCTCGTGTTTTTCGAACTCCCACCGTGTTTATATCAGAGGACAGAGACACGCGCGCCGTTTTATATTTCTTAAATAACTGGCAGTTGTGCTCAGGAAAAAAAGCCGAAAAACTCAACAAAACTGTCCAGGTAATATCCGAGAAAACAGAAGGTCCGCAAGACTTTATTTTACGAAAGTATTAGGTCTAATAATCAATAAATAGATCAACGTTATATTTAAAGTTAGTTAAAAATGCCGAAACGAACTTRAGTTACCGCAAAAATCGGCAATGCAAATAGTTATGCAAGCACCGGCAAAATCAATGCTAAAAGGAAGCGGCAATAACGATGCAAGAATGCCGAWAAAATGAACATTATATTTTTAATAAACGGACTAAACAAATGGCGGGCTTTTTGAAAAATGCCGAAACAAAATATTATTTTCCGACAAACTTTAATAATAAAAATAATAAAAACATTAATATGAACTATGATAATAAAGTTTGCTAACACGCCAATAATAGACGCGCATTTAAATGAATGCTTTCGGCAAAAGACCGCAGAAAGGATTGCTTTAATATAATGTAGGCTTTTTTGATGTATTTGTTCGTTACGTTTGTACGCGGAAACGTAGACGGGGCGTAGACCGCAAAGGATATATCACTAGAACGTGAAATTTTGACCGATGCGCGGAAAATCCTTTACGTTAAAAAAACGGTTAGAGTAAATTCATATGAGTTACAAGTAGATTCAAGATCATTTCCTTTTAAATTCACTGATACAAAACAAACCTTTAGTACGTCACGTGGTAGCATCACGCCATACGAGATCTTTCTAGTCACACATCACGCAACCTCAATGATTTTTGAGCCATAACAAAAACAATATAAACAACAAGATACGCTGAATTTCAAACATTCATAAATATAATTGTCATTTCAGATTGTAAATACATTAAACTGTAWATTTCTCTTTATATAATTCAATTTGCTCCTATAGAGAAGCTGAATATATCACTTCATWGTGCTGGAAGTCACTAAAATAAACAGGGTCAAAACAAGATCTATTACATAATTTGCACTATGCTTGTTTCATTGGTTTCTAGGTATATTTTTTGTGTCTTTTGCCAAGATATAGCTACATCATTGCAGTTCGGCATTGCTGCTTTGCACCAAAAGATAAATTGACATTAACTGATCGGCTGCACAGATGGTAAACAAAGTGAACAACTAAGCAGTGTGTATCATTTCTARACTGATCCYAAAAARCAAAGACCATGTTATGACCCTGTGTTRTGTCAAGGTTACCATACTCTTTTCTTGACAATATATAAAACTGTCACAGCAAACAAAATCAAGCCAAATACAACTAGTAATCTGTCTGTGACCTCTCGTCTATTATATTTATTAAGGAGGTTTTTACTTGTTTGAATTACTCCACTTAAACCCTTGTATTCCTCTTGGGTATCAGTGACTGTCGCTGAAGAAG